CCCCAAAAAAAACAAAACAAAAAAACCCATGCTATTTATTTCTCAATTAAAAGTAGACCATTTATGAGGGAAAAAAATTCCAACATATCAGAACAACATCCCAGAAGTTAAATACCTGCAAATGTGCATGTCTGACACAGCACAACAATGCAATGGGATGATGCTAATTCCCATTTTCGCATCTGCCTTGATTAAGTTACTCCTCCATATATATTACTCCTGAGTAGAACACTTCAGCTAATTTCAGAATATCATACAGAAGTATCCTACAGACTTGCTCCTAAATGCACTAGGCTACAGAACAAACCTAGTTACCTTCAGAGAAAATCATGCACACTCTAAGGTCTTTCTGGAGAAGGAGACGCATGTGGAACATAGGGAAATAATGGAAGGTGACTGAAGAAGGTTTGGAAGTGAACAGGCCATGTAGCAGTTATAGGATGAAGACTGGATGAAAAAGGAGAGGACAAGGAAGCTGGAAGCCAAGGCTGAAAGCACCAAGTTTTGCTCATCCCAGGAAGCCAGAAGAGTCAGGCAAGGTGCTGGCAGAGCAAAAATGCTGCATTATTTCTTAGGTCTATTCTGCATTTGGCTATTCCTACTCAAGCATGCCCTAGATCAAATATTCYAAAATTATCTCCACATGTCATAGTTCAGGAGCTTAAAACCTACAAATTGTCTGTGCATGAGTTTAAAATACATCCCTTACCAGTTTTCAGCATAWCAGCACACGTGAAATCAAACCATGTACCATACCACCATTACAGTACTCTGACCTCTGAACTGCAACAAACCACCTTCAAAAACTAAACTGAAAATTTACACTAAAATTATCAAATCCACATAACTAATGATTTAATAATACTGTATCTCTTTCAGAAACCTCGTTAACAGCTAAACGATCCGATTTTCCCACATATTTTAAGGTCTAAATACCTTTGCTATACATTATTCCTCAGCAGAACACCTCAACTAATTGTGACATAAATCAAATTATCATATTGACTCAACTTTAAAATAAAGCCTTGGACCTATATTTAATTCAGAGAACACAGTTACAGCATTATTTCCATACTATAATTTATTTTYTAAAGTAGCAAAATGCAGTGAGGCAGAGTACACAGTTGTTTAACATGTCAATTAGCACAGAGGAAAACATCCAGTTTTCCTTATCTGTATAATGAATTTCATAAATAGATCTAATTATAATTCTACTGCCATCCGCAGTTGACAAAACGGTCTAATGTTAATAGAAACTGACTGTGTATACAATATGTCACACCATAAACTGTACTGTGAAGCTTGGAAAATTCAATTATTTAAGTTTTACATTTACAAAGAAAAGGCTGGTATTCTTTTTCAATCATTCTGGAGTCTAATATTTCAATTTCTAATAGAAACTCATTTAAGATACTACTACATACAGTACAACACAGCCATCCAGGAAAAGAATGTTTCAGGCTATTTTCAATTAAAAGGCAGATTTACTAATCTGAAGTTCTTGCAATCACAAGTGTTAAGACTGCTGTGACCTAATAATCCCCTAGAATGGAAGAAAAATACCAGATGGGACAACTGTCTGAGAAAAATCTCAGTTCATAATGTTYGCTTCATCTTTTCTTAAATTCGCATCAATGTGCCAATGACTCAAAGCAACTGACCTTAAGGAAATAAACATTGAACATAGAGAAAGCTTTCACCCATTTTGGATTTAAAAGAAATAATCATGCCAACAAGCTCAGGTTTTTATCCTCTTACAATTCTTTCCAGCCATTCAGAAGGGAGGAGTAAGTGTTCATAGAAGAGGTAGCAGAGATCATTATAAGGATTAGCTTACAGCAGGGAAACTGAATTTCCAGATTTACAGCTCCTGAAAAGGTACTGAAATGTGACCCYTGGCTTCAGTGCACTGTGAACGTCACCCTGTGAAGTCACACCAATGAAGATAAGATCTATATGACACAATATTACATAAGCCCGGTTTGACAATTAATTTAATTCTGTTACAAMATGAGCCAGTGACACATCCGATGTGACAATCTATGGTTACATCCCTCCAATAAAAACAGTGAGAAACCTTGAATATGCAATAACAGACAAACAAAATGAAAACTAGAAGGACAAACTGAAAATACACGAGTATCAAGAAGGAAGGAAGCCTTTAYACATAAATAAAACTATGACTACCAATCCCAGAGAAACTGAGCGTTAAAATGCATGCCAGGAATTCACAGAAA